GGTAGGTCCAAATGAGAAGGCGTTTGGCGGCGATAACACAGACGATCTCTCCCTTCCCCTTCTGTTTGAAGCGCCAGTAGATCCAGACTGTATATTGCCTTTGTCGCGATTTGTCTTTCCCGTTGTATCGTCATCGCTGATGTCGATGATATCCGCTTCCTGTGCACCATTGTCCACCGCTTCATCGTCACTGATCACCAGCGGAGCGATCAAAGTACCAGAGGATCCTGCCGTGATTTTGCCTTTAAGTCGCTTGAGACCCTGATTGTTGTTGTTCTTCCTCGTACTAGAACTGCCGGTCGAGGTTGACTGGTGTGTATCCGGTGAACGTTCGAAAAAGTTGAGCAGGGATTTCGATGGGGTGGCATCGGTAGCTGCCTGTTTCTTAGGCGGCATACTGATTGTTTATAGGGACTGAACGAATACTGTAGGTGTGGCACTGTCCGTAGCAGAAGAATATGGGTTTAGAGGGCACAAACACAGCGACTTGTTAGGGACAGCCCAGTAAAGAACCGACCGATCGCACGTCGATCATGATGCATCTTCTGCGGAGCTATTTTACGCGCGTTTCACATTCGTCATAGTATCATACTGGCTGTAACATTAGAGAGTCATGACCCCTATGCGGAGGCACCTGTCAACACAAAAGCAGATGTTGTAGATTCAGATTCAGCAGTGTTCTCATTGTAGCTTACAAAATGAGCAGCATTGCCGGCAAGAAACATGAGGAGTTGTGCAGATATAAGCTTTGCAGCTCCGAATGCTCCCCGCCTACTTGAAGCAAACCGAGCACACCAGCTCTCCTGTAGTTGTTATATTCGTGTCGTTTGAGTTAATTCAAACGGGGTTCTCCATAGCTGCCCTTTTACTCCCTTCTTACCGCCAACTCACCCGGTCCTTTCTCGCTATAGCATGACCTCCCGCGGGCCGCCATATATTGCGATCCAAAGAGGCCTACAGTCACATCAACACATTGGTATTGTAGAGATACGGCCTACCTTTGTATAATCCTATAGTCGATGATGACATCACCGTCCTCATCAACTACGCCTGCTTTGTCTGAGTCAGTTCTCTAGGAAGTACTTCCTCCCACTTCTTCGAGAAGCACTCTCTCTGACTTCCTCAAGAAGCACTTCCTGGACTTCCTGGACTTCCTCGGGAAGACTTCCTCCACTTCCTCAGGAAGACTTCCTTGACTTCCTCAGGAAGACTTCCTCGACTTCCTCAGGAAGTGCTCAGCAGCTACTCTAGGACAGGTAGCCATTCCAAACACGTATATATAGCAGCTCTTTCCACTTGTATTCTGAACTAGCTATATGACTTTTATCTCACCCTTTGATTTACCTCTTAATTCCGAAGCTACCTTAAGTGCAAGACTTTCTCAGGATTAGCTACCCTTCGTCTTCCACTTCCGGTAAGTAGTAGTCCAGTCTTACGTAATAAGCTATTGTATAACTTGTGCCAGGATCCAGTTACAACGGCGGTACTAGTATTGCGTATATTACGTAATACTGACTACTGGCCCGCGACAGGTATCGCAGATTTACACGGCTCAAAAGGGCGCCATACAATAGCTCGCAGCTAGGAAGCGAGATCCTCTTGGGTTGACATTTCAACTCAGAAATATTCGTCCCTTGCTGAGCGATCTCTCACTACATGTGCGCCGAATCATGCCCGAATCCACATATCCTAATCTCTATCGAGTGACCGAACGAACAGCTTGTGTCTTTGCAAGCGGGCTTTTCAGCTGGAGTTATAACTCTAGGAACGTTTCGGTCCGCGGCAAGTGGCACCATGTCATGATTCGACAAAGCCCACTGATCGAACAGTACTCTCGCCGACATAACCAACTCTGGACATCAACGGTTGAGCCTCACCTGTTGATTCTCACCCGCTGATCATCACCCGCTGCGCACCACCCGCTGCACACCACCCGTTGATCATCACCCGCTGCGCATCGCCATGGTGCGGCGACGCCCAGCACAGCACAGCACGGTGCATCGACAGCACGCTGTCCCAACAGCCTCCACTTTCGCCATCGATTCTGCCTAGGGCCCTTGGAGACCCTAAGGCTGCCTAGTCACTCGGATAACTATATAAGAAGAGCTTTTGAATGGTATTTGCCACCCACTTGTATTCGTCCTTGCTCCTTAGAGCAAGATCATATGTCGATGACTTATATTATCTAATCATAATACTAGTCACGTGGTCCGAACTCACATTCGTCATAGTCCTTAGCCTTGCCCTGTCCTGAGGCTGGTGTCTGCCATCAAGCCCTCGCCCACCCCTGACACACCACATCTCGGCACTAGATATGAAGCGATTGATCAAATTGGGATATATGCCGATAGAGAGCTGGCTCGCAGATTCAAGTGGGATAAATCGACTGTGTGTATGAGAGGGGCTTTGGGACGTATGACCAGACATACATGAACAGCACTATGGACGAGGAGGCGGGCAAGGTATGAGAGACATCACGTAATTTTACTTCACCGTTTTTTATCGTTGCTATTCCCATTATTCTGTTCAAAAACTCCTTCGTGTCATTCGCAAAGTAAATGGAGGGAGTATAGGAGTGATTATTGCTTGGGGGCTGTTAGCAAAAACAAATTGCGTTCTCACTACGCGCGACATGTACGCGGAGCTCTCGCGACGATCAGTCAAGACGACTACTTTGTGCCATCAAAGTGATCAGACTACGAGAATACGTCATGCCTTCCAATGATTTCTTCCGATATATGGAGCGCAGTCAGAGTATCAGACGAAAAAGCGCCATTCGCGGCGGATTCGGTCGGAAAAGTATCGGCGCGAATGACATTGATCGTTCCTTACGTCATCACATACAAAGTAGACAATGTTAGAAAGTCGCTAAGACAGGCGAGTATCACAAAACCACTGCGTAGGTCCGAGACAATGGGACTAGTTAGGCAGACTTTGTTACTAGAACGAAAAGCCTGGGACTGGTACAAATTGAATTACACTATAAGTCACAGTCAGGTGAAGGATAGAAGCTCAAGACCTTAGCACAGCTTGCAACCTAAAGCACGTCATTCTTGACTGTTGTAGAGATACAGCACTTTCCTTGTAGTAGTCCATTAGATAATCGACGATAACATCACATGGCCTCGTCAATTAGCTTCTCTTACTGCGTGGATGACTAAACGTCCTGACTCTACCAGACTTCGCCGACTTCATCAAAACTTCGTCACGAAATGCTTTCCCATCAAGACTTCGTCGGGAAGTCCTCTCTCACCAAGACTTCGTCAAGAAGTACTTCGCCAAAGAAGACTTCGTCGAGAAGTCTTCTCGGCATTGTAGCTAGTCCCGATTAAGTATATATAGCAGGCATTCTGCCAGATTGTAATAGAGCTCTCATGCTTTATGGTTCACCCTTTGACTACCTCTTCATTCCAAAGCTACCTTGGGTGCAAGACTTTCTCAGGATTAGTTACCCTTCGTCTTCCACTTCCGGTCAGTATCAGTCCAGTCTTATTCAATAAGCTATTGTATAACTTGTGCTAGGATCCAGTTACAACGGCGGTATTCGTATTATGTATTCAACGCAATACTAATTACTGGCCCGCGACAAGGATCACCTATTGAGATTTAACAGCTGTGGAGCTTCTCGGTGAGTTGTGAGAAACGAGCTATTGTAATTGAATATGACGTGTAATACAAAAGGCGGCGGTGGCCAAGCTAGACAAGTATCTCGGCAGGTTCTTAACGAATCCCTGGGCGCTCTCCGCTTTCGCCCTGGATCCAACCTTCCGCCAAGAAGGCCTGGTCGCGCTGCTGACTGTGGAGTACGAGGCGCAGTCCAGCTTCGACCAGGCCCTGGACTTTATCAAGGCTCGAATGAAGGTTTATCAAGAAAACATGACGAGTGGCCGAACTCAACATGAGAATGAGGTCCAGTGGGTCAAGAAGTCGAAGAGGGTCAACCGGTTCGCTTCATCGCTTTTTCAAGCTGGACATCAGGAAATCACCCACGATATGAACGATCCGTGGGAATGCTACAACTCCAACTTGAAACGGTTCGAGACGACAGAAAATGAGTCCGTGCTTGACTACTGGAAGAGGATGTCCGCTCTCCCTGAGATGCGGCCCCTGGCGATGGTCGCCAGTGACATCCTCGGGCTGGCGTCATCATCTGCCAGCGTCGAGCGTCTGTTCTCGCAAGCTGGGTTCGTGTTGGGAAAGAAGCGCGGATCGCTGTCGGCAAGGCTGCTGACGAAACAAGTTATGTTGCGCATGTGAGAGGAGCAAGGTATGGTGAAGGCAGAAGACATGTAGAGCATACAACGTATATAATCGTGTGTTGGGACTTGGGGTCAAATATCTAATATGATGTGTATTGCCAATTGTGTGCGTCACTAGTCGAAAAAAGTGACTAGTCGCAAGTGACTAGTCACTTCTGCAATGACTAGTCACTTGATCGAAGTGACTAAGAGGTTAGTCATGACTGAATTATGACTAGACTAGTCATGACTAGTTATTAGCGAAAGTGACTAGTCACTGGGGTGACTTCACTACTGACTAGTCAGTCATAGTCATGGGTGACTATGACTAGACTGGTGACTATGACCCCTCCTAGAAAAGTGACTAGAAAAAGTCATGACTGACTAGTCATGCATGCCGACCACCAACGTCTTTAGATGGAATCGTCCTAGAGCAGTAGTGTCTTAGTAACCCTAACCCCTAACCCTTAAGTTCGGAAGTTCGGATATTCAGAACTTGTGAAGTTTGGAAATTGGGAAGTTATGGAGAGGAGCGGGTTGTGTGAGAGAACAGTGACGTGACAGTAATGATTTCGATACGTCATTACTGTAAACTAACTATGGTTCTCTACACTCGTCTTCCACCTACCCTTTACAAGTGTCTTGTCAAGTAACGAGTGTACAGCGCCGTGCTAAGTTCCCACTATAATGGCCATGCTAACTACTAAAAAAGATTAGACCCCTCACCTGCGACAGGCAGCACAGGTCGAAAAAAGTAAAAAATGGAGCCATCAGGAGTCGAACCCGAGACCTCAACCACCCACGACCATACGGATCAAGTCCGAATCATGCTAAGATTGCGCGCTACCAACTGCGCCATAGCCCCTGCCGTTGTGTTTTTCCGGCCACTTTGAACCTGAAAATCATTGAGGGTAAGACTTTTCACGCTGGAGTGAACATGCAGAGAGACATAATAGTTAGTATAGTAAAGCAGCGCATAGTGCACTGCTGGGATTACGTTGTAATTTCTTAAACCCTTATTCATCTGATAGTGGCAACTAGTTCCCGTTCATTGCTTACTGTTTAGCTCACCAAGTACAAAGTCACATAGTACATTGTATCATTCCAGTTTGTACTCGGTACATTTTACCCTGTACATCTTACCACACAACTCTGTACTCAGTACATTCCGCTCATTACATTGTAGTCGGTACATACCATGCAACTTTGCACTTATGTAAGGCACACAGGCTTCGTATTACTCTGAGTCCAGTATTACTTAGACACTAACCAGCTCAGTTAATAAGGCTGATGTTCATGAAGAAGTTGTATAGCAAGACTTAGGATAATTACTGAGTGGTTACAGAAGAAGGCTGATACACAAGGTACTAGGGTTCGTGTGATAATGTTATCTACGACTAGCGGTATTGTGTAAGGTGGTTGCGTTGGTGGTTGAAGTGTTGTTGAGGGTAGAAGGCTGAGTACAAAGTTAATACGAGGCCAGTGGCGCTTCTAGTATCTCTGGTAAAGCGTGTCATAATAAGTCATAGAAGCAAATGTTACAATGAATCGGACTGCTATATATACACGTTTTGGAATAGTGGCGAATGTCAGTTTGCCCAGGTAGCGCATGAGTCTCTAAGGTAGCCTAGGTAGGTGATGGTTTGTGTTGCTGTCTGCATCCGTTGCGATGGTAATTTAAGCAGTGACGAGACGGGCTGTAAGTGTCTCATACTTTACCCTTTTGTCCTTTTGCTAATTCGGAACCTGTGCAGTAATTTTATAGTTCGCCACCATGTTGTAACAATAGTGGAAAAGATTAGTTAATTATTGGTATCTGGTTCGAGTCTGGCAAGTTCCCCCTTTTATGTTATCACTTGTATCCAAAATAGCAAAGTGACATAGAAACCTATGTCATTTTGTCATTCTGTCACTTTGTATCGAAAATAGCAAAGTGACGGAGAAATCTCACTTTGTCATTTTGTTACTTTGTCACTTCTATCTTCGGAACGAAGTGACAAAGACAGGTTGTATCCCATAGGTCTCCCTGGGAGCCCTTGGGACGGGTTGGTTTCGCCACCCAATCCCGGCGTCTATATAATGCAGCTAGATTAGTTGTAAGTTTTGCCTCCTATGATTTATAAAACACACGTTTCCTCCCTGACTCCTGATCAGCGCCCTTGATTGTACTAACTACAATACTAAGTAATACCTTTAGACTCGCTCCTACCAGCGGTTTACCTATTACATTTAGTAAGTTAGTAGTTTGCCTTATACGATATACATAGTCACGAAGCATAATCCTTTCTGACTGATCCCACTCAAAGGCCTTGTACTGTATCTTAGATAATATAATATAGTCCATATACTATATTATTGATACAACGTTACCCGGCTCTTACACTCCTTTCGAGCTTGACCTTGGGTTTCATCCGAAGACCCCTTACTCATTACTAATAGAATCTGAGAAGGACGTGGCGGCTGTGGAGGACTTCATTCAGAATTCGGATGCCCTCCAGCACCAAGGGATAGAAGCGTTAGAGAAGGCTAGAAACAAACAAACTCAGAATGTTAACAGAAACAGGCCTCGGCTTCAAGACTTTAAAGTAGGAGACATGGTTCTTTTGAGCCACAGATCACTACGAACTGCTGCTTCACGTACCACCGGCGCAGTAAAGTTAAGGGGCAAGTACTCTCGACCTTTCCAGATAACTAAGAAGGTCTCCCCGACAATGTACCAGCTGAATCTTCCAGCTAACATCGGTATCCATCCGACCATCAACATTGAATATCTAAAGGACTACCACCCCAGTCCCGCACATTTGGGAGCGCGAGACGTTCCATTTAATCCTGACCCGGTACTAACCATTGAAGGCGCAGAAGAGTACGAGGTCGATCAGGTTTTAGCTCATAGATATGAAGCGAGGAAGGGCTACAGTTATTTAGTATCCTGGAAGGGTCATGGGCTACACGACGCTAGCTGATAGCCTGAAATCAATCTTGAGAACGTTCGAGACGCTGTAGATACGTACCTAGCGTTTGTAAATGCAATGTAGCACACTCCGCAGACATTCAAGCGGACGACCGCCAGGCGGTCACGTAGATAAAGACGCCGAAAAGGAGTATAAAAAAAGGGAGAAGAAAGGGAAAACAGAAGGGAAAAGAAGAGAAAGAAAAAAAAGGAAAAAAGGAAAAAAGAAGGAAAGAAGAAGGGGGGAAATGGAAAGGACCATATCTCGCTCAAGAATGGTCCAAAATCCTAATCTGTCTTGAAACGACCACACAACACTGTAGGCGAAAGTGGAGGCTGTTGGAAAAGCGTGCTGTCGATTCACTGTGCTGGACTGGGGCACGGCGATGCGCGGCGGGTGATGATCGACGGGTGAGGCGCAGCGGGTGAGGCTCAACCTTTGGAAGGTCAGAGTTGCATATATCCGTGAGAGTACTGTTCGATCAGTCGGCTCTGTCGTTCATGACAATTGACAAGGACATTACCTGACTAACTTGCCCACTCCCCTCCGCTGACCCTACCGAGCCCCCACTCTGCGGGCTTACCCCCTCCTCCTTGATGAAAGTTTCAGCAGATTGCCGTGGTATCAGCATTTGTGTAAAAAGATAGGGTATAGTATACAGAGCTGGACGATGGATGGTTTGGGGAGACGAAGGGGCCAGCGGCGGAATTACCTTTGCGGTATCAAAAAGGGAGGTTAGTATTGCATAACCGCAGATACAGTCCACCACGAAGACGCACCCTGCAAAACTTGGCCTGGGTTCCCCCTAGAACCCTATTGACGGGCTTGAAACTACACGCGCCAAACCCTGAACCTCCCTCCTCCGGACCACCCACCCAGTCTTGCTCACCCTGGCTTGCAAAAGAGTTTTCTGTCCGGTTTGAGGGGCGAAATGATGGTGAACTTGGTGGTGGCGAACACAAGAAAGGCGAAGGGTGATTGGTGATTGCATTTGAGAAATGCCGGGCGAGGGGACGTGGGATTTAGCGGCGTATGTTAGGATATATAGAAAAAAGAATGGTGGAAGGGGAGGAAGGCAACGGTAACTTGTAAGATATGATAGGTGAAAATGCTGGTCTTAAGAGGGTCGATGTGGGGACTGGTAACTGTGATTGTTGAGCCCTGGTTTCTGGACCAGCTGCTCGACTGGTGGCTCCCGAACGCGCCTTTTACTTATTCGCTAGTAAATTTATGAAGCGAAGTTTGTGGAAATGAGAGCGAAAAGAAGCTTGCAACGCGGAAATTGATTGAACTCGTTAGACCCGCCTTTTCTTCTAAGTACATCGGTCCTCATCGCTTTGAACAAAAACTAAGCTCGACTGCGTGTGAGCTGGACCTGCCCGCGAACGTTAAGATACATCCAATTGTGAACGTAGAGTACCTGAAGAAGTATCATGAGACTCCTTTTGACTTCGCAGGGAGGACTGAGCCGCTACCCCCGCCTGTAATCATAGACGGGCAGGAAAGGTACAAGGTGGAAGAGCTAAGCGCCCGCAGAAACAGGAAGACGGAGGAAAAGATTACAAGGTGAAATGGATGAATTACGATCTTAAAAGTTATACCTGAGAGGCAGAAGAGAACCTGTTCGACGCTCCTGGAGCAATTACAGAGTACTGAATGAGGCAGGAAAGGAGCAGGACGAACAGGGGACGCAGAAAGTGAACAGTAGCCCGTTTTACGAATCTGCTTCTCGCCGCCCCCGTTGCGAGAATGGCAGGTAATGCTTCAGAGAATGAGATGTTCCTTTTCAAGGAGAGAACATACGGTCTTACGATAGCTAGCCAACAACGTCATTTACCTAACAAACAGAAAATAATATAAACGACTGTTTGAGAGCTGAAATCTGAGAGCTAACCACCGCTATCCACATCATTTCTACGATCACATAATCACTATGCCTGCACGACACAATTATTTTACCACCATCTTGCCTGACTTGCGCAGCGGCTAATTGTAAGTATCTCACACTTTACCCTTTTTGTCCTTTTACTTATTGCTTCGTACTTGTGCAGTTATTTTGTAGTTCGCCACCTTGTTGTATGAGTAGATGGAAAGATTGATTTAATATGGTATTCTGTTCGAGTCTGGCAAGTTTTCCTTTCCTTTTGTCACTTGTATCCAAAATAGCAAAGTGACATAGAAACCTATGTCATTTTGTCATTTTGTCACTTTGTACTGAAAATAGCAAAGTGACTGAGAAATCTCAGTCACTATGTCTTTTTGTCGCTTTGTCACTTCTATCTTCGGAACGAAGTGACAGAGATAGTTTGTAACCCACAGGTCTCCTTAGGAGCCCTTGGGACGGGTTGGTTTCGCCACCCGATTCGGACGTCTATATAATGCAGCTAGTTTAGTTGTAAGTTTTGCCCTCTATGATTTATGAAACACGCTTTTCCTCCCTAACTCCTGATCAGCGCCCTTGATTGTACTAACTACAATACTAAGTAATACCTTTAGACTCGCTCCTACCAGCGGTTTACCTATTACATTTAGTAAGTTAGTAGTTTGCCTTATACGATATACATAGTCGCGAAGCATAATCCTTTCTGACTGATCCCACTCAAAGGCCTTGTACTGTATTATAGATAATATACTATAGTTTATATACTATATTATCAATACAACGTGCCCGGCTCTTACACTATTAGCTAGATATCAAACGAACGCGTTGCGTTTATTTTTGTTTTTATTTTTACAGGTACATAGGGTGATGAAGTGACAAGTTATGATCAGCTCTCGAGCTTGAGCGGGCGTGTTCAACCAAAGGCTTACCCTCATATCTATCGTCGTTAATCAAAATAGCGTAGGCCATGTCATACCCATCACCAACCTTGTTGTGCCACAGCATCGACCATATTGTTCATTGAGAGGCCGA